GTTAATTGAGGTTAAAAATTAATTTCCAAAATTTATACTAGGGACGCTACCACCCTAACGTGCGTGTGTACATATATGTACATATGTAGGGAATTAGGTAGCCCAAATTAGAGATGGACACGGGCCCGACGGGCCCCTGCGTAAGCCCGCGGGTACGGGACGGAATATTTGCTGTCAGCGCGAATTCGTGCGTGCATGGGCGTTCAGTAAAATTTCATAAACGCACGAATAAGCACTGTTGCGCTTTTGGCAACTTAATAAGGGGTGTGTTTATGCCTTTTAAAAACACGATGCAGAGGGACATCTATCGTTCGTAGTTTTAAATAAAAGAGGTCGAGATTCTTCTTTAAATATATATACAAAATTCAATTCTTTATTAGAATTCAAGCAAAAAGTGGACTGTAGTAAAAAGGTAATAAACTGATGCAGTCTATGCTGGTCAAGAGTTCTATTGCGAGTGCTCGAGCCCTTCGCGTTGTAAAAATGTTAGGTTTTAACAACTTTTAATATGTGTGTGTACATGTGTTCGTTTTAATCTCTAGGTGCAGACATAGATATGTTCGAAAACCAATGTATACATTTTTATATAATTCAACATTTTACGTGTAGGTACATTAGGGAAAAATTCAAATTTTGGATGGGTGTGCTATTCAGTATGAATTCAAAATATAAGAATGCGAAACATGTACGCATATATGTATATTTGTGTATATACCACAATTTGTGTCCTCAACAAGCACGAAGAAGCCCGTTGCTAATACTACAAATTTAGATAAGCTTTTGTTTTTATACAAAAAAAATAGTACATATTAAAACTCTTGATAAGAGAAAAGCAAAAAAAGAAATATTTGGAAACCGATAGAAAAAATCAGATACTTAGTAGTTTTGTTTACATATCCGCACATAAAATATCTTCCACTTTTTCTACTTCCCAGAAAATATATTATAAAGTCTTTGATGTAAAAAATTGATTCGCTTAAGTAAATATACATACATAAACACAAAATTTAAAATATGTACATATGTATAGATACAATAAAAGTTGACTCTTTATTTCCGGGCTGGGACGTGTCCTGTCGTGCCGGGCCGGGCCCCACTGAAATTCTTAACGTGCGGGCTCGTGCGTGTTTTTGAAAGTTCATTATACACTCGTGCCGGGCCGGGCCTGAAACTTTAGGCCCGTGCCCATCTCTAACCCAAATTGACAGTTTGTATGTATGCAAATAAATGAGAGCGAAATATTTGAGCTATAGCGAACTTTGAGTTAAATCGATGTTTCGAACGAGTTTTTGAGTTTTGTTATTATCAGCGCATGAAGTTTTAGCGCCCCAAGTAATGGATATAAATACTTATATACATATGTATGTACATTAGTGTGTGCCTTTATTGAAGCATATAATATAATGTGCATATAGCCATAGGCATATATTTATATATGTAAAGAGACCGGCGGTTCTGGAATGTGCTTTAGCTGTAAATCTTTATTTTCACATACATATATGTAGGGTGGCCAGATGCGCTGATTTAATCAGTACGTGTGCTGATTTTTTTCTATTGTACTGATTTTTAAGAGCCCGAAATCAGTACGTAAAATCTACTGATTTTTTGAGTTTGTACTGATTTTGTACTGATTTTTACATTTAATACTTTTGTAAATTGGTGTTATTGACATTTAGTTGAGGTTTACATGTGCAAAACAATGGTTTTTGACAACTCATACGTGTGAGCAGATTGAAAGCATTAATTAAATTTAAACCCTTATTAAAAAGGTGTCAGCTTGCAATTGTTTCGTTTCCTAGGATTTCGCAAAATAACAAACTGTTTGGATTCAACCCAACCCAACTTCACGATTTGCAGGTTTTACAGGATTTACAGGAAAAGCTGGTTTCGCCATTAATAAATCTTATGAAAGTTGGTGGTGAGTTAATCATATATCAAATACACTGAGAAGATTACAATAAGAGACAATCTTTCGATTATAATTAAACATCCACTGAGAAATCGGCTGTCAGTATTTCAAACTTAAGACGACTACTGCTACGGTGCAATGTAAGTTCTAAAAATTTGGAAAAGGTGCAAACTACCGACTCGTGGATATGATATATGTAGCTTTACTTTGATTTTTGATGTTCGACCACCTGTAATTTTACTTGCACATACACATTTAATACTATTAAATTTCATTCGTACTCGAAAATTCGTTTAGCGATAATTCGGTAATATACCTTTTAGTCAACATTTTAATGTGAATGTTGTATTTAATAAGCACACCAACTAAATATGTTTTAAATTTATAGCTTAAAATATGCAAACAGATTCTGACTCGAGCTCGTCTTCTACTGAATCTGAATGGGCTACAAATTTTTTTTTCTCAATTCTTATAAATTTTCTAGAAAGTTTGAGACTTCAACTCACATGTCTTTTGTTATAGAATTAACTATATTTTTATAAAAAAATTTAATTAAATAAAGAAAGAAAAAAATTTCAAAACCTGTCAATACATTTTACTACTATTTTCCTGAGCACAGCTGTACATACATACGTAATACCATTGATTTGTTTTAAAGTAATGAATTTTTGTATTGATAAAAAGTCTATTAGTTATTTTTTTCATTAATGCGCTGTTATTTGGTTGTTATATTGTTAATAATAAAAAATACGCTTAAAAATGAGCTAATTTTTATGGCTCTGTACTGATTTTTGATCCCAACTGTACTGATTATGTACCTATAATATCTGGCCACCCTACATATATGTATATGTATATATATGTTTTTACACATGTATGTATATTTCTAAAAAATGGGCGCGAATTTTCTTTAATATATCCCCAAACATTTATGTATGTTCAGATAAATTAAAATGACCTCATACGAAACTAACAGTATAAAAGTTCGTATGTAGGTATATATGTATAAGTGTTTGCAAAAATTTCGTCTTTTATACAAATAAAGTTCGCTATAGCTTTTGCTCAAAGTCGAATAAAGGTCACTTACTGCGGCATCCTACTTTTTTTGTTTATTTCTTTTTGGGTAACCTGATTACGCGTTATGGGCTTTGGGCCTGGGTTCTCTTGAGTGTTCACTTGGTCCCTTTGCTTTCTTTGGCGTGATTTTTGATAGGTGGTGTCGGGTAGCTCATTTTGACCTCAGTCTGCTGCCTTTGCTCCACACAACTTCCGAATGGGTTCCTTTTAACTGTTGGTATAGCCTGTTTTTAATTTTATTCACTTGGCTTATATATTTTTATTTGTTTTTTTCGACCAATTTTTGTTTTCGCGTTTTACTTAGTTGCACTTAGTTTTATGATTTTTATTTTATTTTTTCGTTTGGTTTTTAATTGAATGTTCACTCCGAGCTTGTGACCGCCGCCGAATTTAGATAAATCGCCATTAAACTCGGAAAAAATAGGGGTGGGAGTTGTGTATTAAAATGGGTACGAGTACTTTAAATGTATCGTATTAGAGTGCGTGGCCGATTCAATCGTAAATTGAACGGCTCGAAGGATCATTGGCGAGATGATAGCAAGGTTGCTAATATCTCGCGGGGGTTGAAAGAAATAAAAAGAGCAAAATGTACAACTGTAAAATTCAAATTAACTTTAATTACAAAAAATTATGAATTCAACGATTATATACAAGCGATCTTGGTGATATATGAATGTATATTGAGTTTAAAAGAAGATCCGTTTCGGTGGACGGTCGCAGACGTATTGCTGCTTTGTTCTTACAAAGTGCGTGTGTTTGTAAATTCATGTTGACGAGTATGAGAAAAAGTTTTTTGAGGGATTTCAGAGCTCTATGAGGTTGCCAGCTCTCTCATCTTGAACAAGTATTAAGAAGTGCAGTTAGACTCATCTTCTTCAGAATAGAGTCTAGTTTATTGTGTAAAAATTTCAAATCAATCGATGCACAAACGTCTGAGATATAACGAGTTTAAATGAAAATTTCGCAAAAATTGGCCGCTGTGAAAAATCAAGTTTTGTGGCTTTTTCGACATGAAGGCGTGAAAGCAAAAAATCGCCCTGGGACGATATGCGCAGAGAGAGGAAATTTTTATTTCACGCATTGCGCGACCCTTTATGTATAGATCTTGGACTCAAGTAGAGATGGGCACGGGCCTAAATTTTCAGGCCCGGCCTGGCACGAGTGCAAAATCAACTTTTAAAAACACGCACGAGCCCGCACGTTAAGAATTTTAGTGGGGCCCGGCACGACGGGACACGTCCCAGCCCGGAAATAAAGAGCCAACTTTTATTGTATGTATACATATGTACATATTTTTAATTTTGTGTTTATCTATGTATATTTATTTAAGCGAATAAATTTTTTACATCAGCGATTTTTATAATATATTTTCTGGGAAGTAGAAAAAGTGGAAGGTATTTTATGTACAGATATGTAAACAAAACTACTAAGTATCTTGTTTTTTCTATCGGTTTCCAAATATTTATTTTTTTTGCTTTTCTCTTATCAAAAGAGTTGTGATATGTACAATATTTTGTTTGTATAAAAAAAGCTTATCTAAATTTGTAGTATTAGCAACGGGATTTTTCGTGCTTATTCGTGCTTTTATGAAATTTTACTGAACACCGCACGAGTTCGTGCTGACAGCAAATATTCTGGCCCGTACCCGCTCGTGCCCATCTCTAGACTCAAGTAAAGAAACTAGCTGCGTATATACTGATACGGCAGAATTAGGAGGAATGTAGCAAAGAGCTAAATAAACATGACTCTTACCAGCCTGTACACTTATATATTTAAATTCGGTATATTCAATGACAGGAACACTAACTACCTTGGATGGTACCGACGAATGCACCGCAAAAAGAACATCACCGCCGATTCTGCCCTCGCGGTCGCTCTTGTATATTTGATATTCATTTGGAGGAATTCCGGAATTAAAAATATGAGGTTTGAGCCATGTTTCGGCCAAGGAAATAATATTATAGTTGCCGGTAAAACCTTTTAAATATAACTAAGTTAATTTGGTATTCAAACCTCTAACGTTGCGATAGTAAATACTTATGGCCCTATTATGTATGGCGACTGATAGCCGATGGGCAACCATAGACTAAAATTCACATTACGTATGGCAACTCGTTACTGACTGTCGGCTACTGGCAAGGCTACTGAGTCTGGTAGCGCAATTTTCTGTATTATGTATGGCTACCATCTCTTTTTATAGTATACACAAACGTCAAATTGAAGCAACTGATCAGCATCAGTCGCCATTGTTATATTTTGCGAATTTTGGAGGAGAAAGCTGAAACAAATTGTGATCATGGCAGAAAAATTGTAATAATATGTAAATTCTATTTATATTGGTATATAATTAACAGTTTGATATTTCTCCAGGCCAGTGAAAATTACTAATAGCAAGCAATTTGAGCGTTTGGTGCATTTAATGCAATCCAACCCAGGAATTGCAAGAGCAACACGGACGTTTGGACAAAACAAAATCCAAAACGACGAACAATGGGACGCTTTTGCTACCGAAATAAATAGTTTCGGCCTTCCAAGTAGATCTGGAAAAGAGTGGCAGCGGGTAATAATTTTTACTATAATATATGTACATACTGCAATAAGCATTTTCATGTACATATGTATACATACATTTGTGTAGGTATGGATTAACTACAAGGCCAAAACCAAGAAGAAAATTAGTGCAAATAACCGAAATATAAGAACGACTGGTGGAGGCCCATCAGAGGAGCAACCGTTATCTGCACTCGAGCAAGTGGTAGCAGATATTTTACACACAGACGTAAGTGTAAATCCACCCGGCAATGTGTTTGGTATTGTGGAAATGGACGAAGACGAACAAAACGTAGAGCCGTCATGCAGTTCTTCGCCAAATATTACGATAACTGTTCCAAAAAAAAGGCAAAAAAAAAATATTGAAGAAATGAAAGTGGACATGTTAAAGTCGCAAACTTTAAATAACTCGGATATAGCACAAAATTAAAAAAAAATGGAAAAAATACATACAAAATTAGCAAATATGCTGAAAAAAATCATGATTTAAAAAAAGAAAAATTTGAACTATTAAAAGAAAATATGAATTCAGAGGCAGAACTTAAACGAAAGAAAATTCAACTTATCGAATACCAATTAAACAATATGTAATTTTAAAGATTCAATCAGGCAGTCTCTGCAATTCACTTCCGAGTGAATTTCAATCCCTGCCAATTTGAATTCAACGCGAATTCGACTCAAATTCTCTCGAAAGTGAATTACAGAACCTGCCTGTATATTTAAGAGTTTTGTTTGGGCGGATTATAAATCGCACCAAGTTACCTAAGGACTGAAGAACTGAACTTTAATTTATTTGAAAGTATTTTAAATACTCAAGAGGCTTTTTGTAGTACAAATGAAAGTGTTTTTTTTTATTCATGAGTATATATTTTTTATTTAGTGAAATGTGAACTATTTTTATTGATTTTTTAAATCAATAAAGAGATTTTATTGTAATAAAGAATTCATTAAGTTATTTCTTATTTATTGTGCTAGAATATTATGGATGGTTGTTACAAAATCAGAATTTATATCTGTGTCTATAGTCTCGGCTTCAATACTGGGTTCTTCAAAACCTGACTCAAAGCGACGGCCAATATTGTAAATAGCACAACAAGAATTAATGATGGCAGTTGCTTTCTGTGGAGCATAGTGAAGTCCGCGCTCAGAAGATAGGCATCTATATTTTGATTTCGAAACGCCAAAAGTCCATTCTATAATGTTCCTCGCCTTGCAATGTACTTTGTTGTATTTGCTTTCTGGACTGCCACTCACTGCGGCTCGAAATGGAGTCATCAGATATGTCTCCAACGGAAACCCAGCGTCACCTACCGCAACAAACACATTTGTTAATTCTTTTACAAGTAGGCAGATGGTGGGACCAGTTTTCGGATCGCTATCGCAACACTTCGACATTCATCACACGTCGGCAACTTGCTATATCGATCCGAAAATTGTTGCTAACTGGTTACAGAATCTTCCTACAGGTTGTGCTTCAAAATATCACCTAAAAGCCATGTGTTTTCTCCTGTGTTATTCGACATAATTTCCTTGAGTCTACTATTATTCCATATGAAGGCATCATGTGTGGCTCCTGGATATCTGGCATCGACATACGTTATGTTCATATAGAAATCGCAAACCTAGGTAATAATGAATTTGTGTGTATCCACGATAAATATGCGGAAACTAACTTACCATTAACGCGTTTATACTGAAAAATCCTTTTCTGTTTATGTACAGGTGTTGCAGTTCCTTTTCAGGTGCTAAAATGTGCACATGAGTGCCATCCACATAACCCAACATACCTGGAAATCCACTCTTATTGTAAAAATTTATTTTGCTTTTATTCTGCTCTTCTTCGCTAGTGTCAAATTTGATGTGCTTGGGACAAATCTTCTGCTCGATTAAAGAAGTAACTTCAGTTAGTATTACTGACATAGTGGGTTGGGAGATGCCAATATTGAAATCATTCCCTTGGCATTTTTGATAACTCCCTTCCGCAAAGAAACGGAGCACTGCGCAGAGTTTAAGAATTGGAGGTACCGCAGTTGATCGAAAGCTGCTTTTGAAATGAGGGGATAGTTCCTCCAGCAAGTATACAAATGCTTCCTTTGATATCCGAAAATTGCTTAGGAACCTGGAGGTATAGATTTGTTAAAGAAATATGTACATGACGATTTTTTTAACTTACTTAACAACTGGTAGATCCAAAGGATTGGAGCGATCCCTTATGTGACGCCGTATTAGAGCAACGTTTGCACATTCTTCCCGAGTTGCGAAAAATAACTCATAGCTGCTGATCATTCTGCTTTCTTTATTTTTAAAAATATAAATGTTTCCCGGTTGTGACGATTTTTTTATTTGTTTACATAAATTGTCAAACACATCGGAGCAAAGTTGCCAATTACTTCGAAATGTACATGTCAAAAAAGCAAACTCAGGGATGTTTTCTGCGTTTTTCTGTATACTGAGATTAATCGCTATACGTAATACAAAGTACGACACTGGTAGCCGCGGCTACTAGACCGGCAACTAGACACCAGTCGCCATACATAATAGGGCCATTAAATTAGACTTGCGAGTTAGTTTTTTGAATCAGAATTAAGATTAGAAATTTTAGCTACGTTGCATAGTTGGACGTTCCCATATAAGCTGCGGCTAAAAGTAGTAACCGTACTAGAAATTCGCTGAAATTTGGTATATGCGCTGTTCGTAGGTTTGCCAACCGTACTATAATATGTAGTATTGTACTGTTTTTCCCGTCGGCGAACTACAGTATCGGTCATATCTATAGCACGCCATTTCAAAGTGATATTGTGTGCCACTTAGGTTTATTTATTTATTTTTAAGAATTTTCAATTAAAATACAGTTTTTTCTCTAACAAAACTCATATAAACCCAAGTTTAAAAACTTATAGAACCTTACAAAAAAATGCAACAAATTTTGACCTAAATTTCAAACTTTTTTCTCGGAAGTGTTTGAATTTTTCTGAATACACAGTTTTATAGCCCAATCAATTTAAGTCTGATAATGTGCAAGTTTCGAGTGGCTAAAAGTTACCGCTGATTTTTTAGAATTTTTTTCGCCAAGGATGTTGCGGTTTTCTTCCATATACAAATAAATTGAGTTTATTCATTATATGGAAGCCAATGCGACAAAAAAAAATTCTAAAAAATTAACGGTAACTCGTAGCCACTTGAAATTAGCACGTTATCAGACTAAAATTGCAGCGGCTAAAAAACTGTATACTCGAAAAAATTCTAACACTTCCGAGAAAAAAGTTTGAAACTTAGGTGAAAATTTGTTGCACCTCTTTGAAGTTTTCTACAAATTGTTAAACTTGGGTTTATATGGGGTTTGTTAGAGAAAGAACTGTATTTTAATTGAAAATTCTTAAAAATAAATAAATAAACATAAGTGGCACACATTATCACTTTGAAATGGCGTGCTATAGATATGACCGATACTGTATATACTGTTGGAAAAAAATATAGTACCTATATTTCTTCAATTATAAATACAAATATATTTCAGTAGTTTGCCTGAAAAATGTGTATTAAAATGGATGACCTTTATACTGAACCAACAATATTAAATGAAATATTCTTCGGCCGCTGTGGTGCAGTGGTAAGCAGTGCGCGCTTCCACTCCGCAGGACCCGGGTTCAAACCCTGGTCAAACCAACATCGCAAAAATATAGAAAAAAGGTTTTTTCTTAACAGCGGTCGTCCGTCGGCAGGCAATGGGAAACCTCCGATTGTATTTCTGCCATGAAAAACAGCTTCTCATAAAAATACAATCGCCGTTCGGAGTCGGCGTAAAACTGTGGGTCCCTTCGCCTTGTGTGACAATATCAAGGCGTACGCCACAAGTCGGAGGAGAAGCTCGGCCAAACACTAACACATGTGTAAGCGCCAATCTATTATTATTATTATTCTTTAAAGTAAAAGGTCATTTTGAGTTTATAATGAAAAAAGGTAACATATTTTTAAAAACACTGAGAAAGAATTAAAACAAATGTGCTTAAAATTATTTCATTTCTACCAACAACTTCGGCATTCACAGGAACATGGAAAAACACTTAAAAATCGTTTTTACTTTTTCTTTTAAATAAAATACTATATACATTCGAAGTGTACTATATTTTTTCCAATTTTTTTGAAAAAGTACTATTAATATCTTAGAAAATGTTGGCAACCCTAGCTGTTCGGCACTTAGGAATGAAGAAATGTGGAAAATGGTAAAATTCAACGTGGTACTATGCTCACATCTCTCGTGGGCGGAAGTTGTAAATGTTATCCGATTTTGGTGCAATTCAGAGTATATGCTGGTTTTAACGAAAAAAGCATAAATCTGAATGATCGTCAAAATCCGTTTACATTATCGCCCAGTAATTCTAGAAAAAAAGGAGCAAATAAAAAACATTTTTTTTTATGAGATTCGGTGTGCAACTTTTTTGGCTCCAAGTACTAAATTTTATGAATTTTGGAGTAAATGAACAGGACCACTTATTTTATTTCTAAAGAAGTTTCTATTTCTTCATTTTAAAAATGACAAAACGAAAACATTTACAATACCTGCATACTAAGTTATGTGCACGATATGTATTTACACTGAAGCTTTAAATTTTACCTACACTTTATACCACAAAAGCTGAGCTAAGGCCAGCATATTATTTATTTTATGTACACACCAGAGTATTTCCCTTCAGCTCTACAATAAAAATTCGATAAATTTTACAGGAGGTGGGTCTATAAAAGGAAGAATAGAAGCTGAACTCTCAGTTCCTCGCAGCTGGAACTATTTGAGATATGACACGCATATTTAATGTTTACTTGTCCTAAGTATTATTTAGCTCGCTTCCTAGGTCCTTTTTAAATACCCCTTTTTAAAGTAAGCACTAGACAAATTTTATACTCACAAAATTATGTAGAATTTCAAAGTAAACTATTTTATACATTTCAAAAGATTTATAAAAATTTAAAGCAATGCTTGACCACATATATATTCAAAAACTGCTCATCAGTCAAATTGGCTTTTTATATATGCGCACAAGTGGAAAAATTAATTCAAATTACTTGCGACAAAATCAAAATTTTTTCGTACAAATTTTCTTCTTATTGTTCCTGCTTTATGTTCGTGTCATGATTGCAAATATGCATTTCAATCAAAAATTCCGTTTTGGTTTGGGTTAGATGAATATTTTGCTATGTATCTGCGTAAATCCTTTTTCAGAATTCGCTCACCCGTTTTTACTACTTTTGGCCGCTGTAGTCTCATTGTTCGTTGTTATAACTTTTATTAGGTTTATACTCAAACTCGCGAACAAACGCCCTGGTCGGCCAAAAAGAATTATTTTGTAGTGAATCAAAATCTTCAGGAGCTACATCAATTTTAAAAGATGAAATATCGCGATCGTATTTAAAATTAAATTTACGAATTAATACATCTTTAGTTTTAATTTTAGTCGATATGTATGACTGTATATCATCCGAATAAGTGTCTTTAACAAATCTAGAGGCAAAGATTGATTTTCTTGGGGGAATTACAACTAACTTTTTGATAATGATGTCTGATATGCGGGATTCCGAGTTATTTGGAGGAACTATGTTAGACAGTGCAGCGTCAGATGTTGATGGCAACACTGTTAAATCAACGGTTTGATTGACGTTATTATGGATAAGGCTTTAGATAGCAGAGGCTATAATGCCTAAAGGCATGGAGGAGAAGGATTAATAAGTTCCAAGGACTGGGATGAAGGATTTTTCTGAGTAGATTCAGTGACTATCTTTTTTGGTGGACTACTAACACGCCTACATTTATTTTCTCG